GCCAGGCAAAACAAGAATTCCACCTAGTGGGAGCAACTCTCCACATTTTGGTACACATCTTTCACATCCCTCTCTTATTCTAACTGTACACTGTCTTTAAATTCTTGGGTTCAAATTGTTTATATAATTCTGTATCATTTAACATAATCTTTTTTTTTTTTTTTTTTTAAGATGACCAGTAAGGGGATCTTAACCCCTGACTTGGTGTTGTCAGCAACATTCTCTCCCAAGTAAGCCAACCGGCCATCCCCACATGGGATCCAAACCCGTGGCCTTGGTGTTATCAGCACCACACTCTCCCGAGCGAGCCACGGGCCGGCCCTAACATAATCTTTTAACACTTCTCATGTCACTGAAAATTCTCTTAAGAATCAATTTCAGTGATTGCTCATGATCTCATCCTGGGGATGCACCCTGGAGGATGTAGGATACCAGGCAAAGACTGGTACAGTTTATCCTGTGGCTAATAGGGATTCACTGTAGGTTTCCGAGTGGGAGAGTGACGAAATAAATTTGTTGTCTTTGGAAGTTTGGGTTTGCTAGAAATGAACAAAATGAAGACAGAAAGTCAGGTGGGAGGTGATTACAGTCAAGCACTTTGAAGCAAAGATTGAAGACTAAGGAGGAAGAAGAGGAAGGAGTCCAAGTGGATTGTGAGGTTTGAAGCCTTTTCAGGTTCCAACTCCTTCTAATTCAATAGGTTAGAAGACATAAATGAATTGAGGGAACTGTGGTACTGGCTGTCAGAAATGAGGAAGTTGGGAGGGCAGCTCAGTTGATTAAAGGACAGGGGAGTACTTTTGGATGAACATTTTAGATGGCAACTCTCATAGGCATTTCAAAAATACTGGCCAGGGCTTGAGTGAAAGGTCTGGGCAGAAAGAGAGGTTGGAGGGGGCAGCAGTGGTTGGGATCAGCTGGATGGAGAGGAAGTGGGGAGAAACTGCAGAAGCCCAGGAGCCGGCCTGAGCCATGTAGTTTGTGGACCGGCGACGTGGAGGCTGAAGGGCTCACCTGCAGCACCATGAGGCCAATTCAGCCCAGGCTGCTGAATTTGCCACAAACTCTCTCCCAGGACACAAGCACACTGAGTAGAGAAAAACGTCTGGTGACCCAATTAACTGGAAAGTTCAGAAAGTGTGCAATCTAATTATTGCATTATTATTATCATTAGTATGTTGGTAAATAAATGTTAAACACAAAATTATTTTTCTTGTATCCTCTTTATTTCAGAGCTTTCTGAGTCTGAGTCTCTGAGCTCATTCTATGCAGCAGGTCTGATTTTGGGGGCCTTGGAGCAGAGTACACAGAAGAAATAGAAAGTGCATTTCACTCACAAAGAACTTCTGTGTGGAACTTTTCAATCAGTTCTCCATAACTGGTGATCTTTTTGTGCATCCTTTTTTTGGCAGCAGGAAAATCATGGTGGTGGGGTAGGGGGGTGAGTTTCTTCTGGATTATTCTTGTTGAGTTGAGGTTTAGCTGTAGGCAGCTCAATGTTTGCAGTAAACTTTAAGATAAGAGATCAACAAAAATACCTAATAAGAACTTAACCACACCTGAGGGTAGGCCTGTGGCTTGCTCCCTCTGGAACTGACTACCACTTACTAGTTTCTTTGCTTGGGGCCTGTGCTCTGGGTTTTACTATACTCACTGATAAAATGGGAAGAAGCATGCACGCATGCACGCACACACGCACACACACACACCCCTGCCCCCAGCAATCTCACTTGGGTTCTTATGAAACAGGGCACACTCAGGCACTCTCACAAGTCTAGAGCCCCTACAACTGTGTTGGACATTTTGGAAGCAAGATGTTATTACTGCCATAATTCAATGGCAGGGCTATGGTTTAATATTTTTTGTTTGTTTTTTAAAAATAAACTTTATTTTAGAACAGCTTAGATTTACAGAAAAACTGAAGAGGTAGTACAGATATACCTGACACCCAGGTTTCCTCGTTACGAACATCTTACATTTTTATGGCACATTTATCAATTAATGAACCGGTATTGATACGTTATTCTCAACTAGAGCTCATACTTTATTCAGATCTCCTTAGTTTTTACTTACTGCCCTCTTTCTGTTCCAGGATCCCATCCAGCATACCACACTACATTCTTATCATATCATATGAAGGATACATAATAACATCTTATCACTGTCGATCCTAATCTTGATCTCCTGGCTGAAGGAGTGTTTGTCAGGATTCTCCACTGTAAAGTTACTTTTCACCCTTTTCATACAGTGCTCTTTGGAAGGAAGTCACTACGAACAGCCCACACATAAGATGTGGGGTGTATGCTCCGTTTCCTAGAGGGCAGAATATTTACATACATTATTTGGAATTCTTCTGCATGGGAGATTTGTCTATTATTCCCCAATTTATTTATGTTTTCAATCATCTGTTTATATCAGTATAGACTTATGGACATTTATTTTATACTTTGGCTTAAAATCAAGCTATTTTGTTACTCAAATTGTTCCAGTTTTGGCCGTTGGAAGCTCTTCCAGGGGTCGATCACCTGTGCCCATTTGAAGTACCTCTGTCTTCCTGTTTTTTGTTTATTTAGTACTTCCTTATTTTCTGCACCACAAAATGCTCCAGGCTCATCTTGTATATTTCCTTTTTTGTTTGATTGGTTTTTTGGCAGCTGGCTGGTTTGGGGATCCAAACCCTTGACCTTGGCATTATAACACCGTATGCTAACTAATAACTGAGCTAACCAGCCAGCCCCTCTTGTATTCCTGCCCCAGCCCTAAAATCTACCATTTCTCCACGGAAAATGTCAGGACCAAGTTTTAATCCTAGCAAAAGAGTGTTTGGCCAGAAGTTGGGGCAGAAGATCAGGCAGGTGGGCAGAAATAATACCCAATCCACCCTTAGGAGGGAATTTTCCCAGCAGTAGCAGCCAGAATTGCAAGTCCTTAGCTGAGAAATAGGTGACTCACCAGCTCCCCAGGTTGTCTCCTCCCTCCCCCTCTTGCTGACAAGACTGTCCCTAAACCAGCTCAAACAGAGGAACTTGGGTCAGCGAGTCTCCCTACCCATGAGGCCAGGGAAGAATGGTTTGTCTCAGGCCACGTCAGGGTTTTTATCCATGCTTAGCAGATATCTCCCCCCATTTGTGTATTTATACCCCTCAAACCAGCAGAAAAGATTAAATAGGATTACCCTCAGATTTACAGCTACAATAAAACTATTATTAAAACCCAGGTAAAAGGACAAGAACACTGTAAAGAAGACAGAGAGAGAGAGAGAGAGAGAGAGTGTGTGTGTGTGTGTGTGTATAGTAATTTTGTCCCAGACACCTGAGCTGGGACAGCTGCCTTAGGATCCCTGAGTCACAGATTGCTAGCACCAGAAGGGCTTTCAAAGATAAACACACATCACCTGTCATTTATAGCACTGAGACATACGAAGTGATTTTGTTGGAGTCCCATAGCTGAAAAACTGGGAATACTGGGACAGGTCTCCTGACATCCAGGTCTTTTTAAATCCCCCTCCCTTAGCAGGAGAGCAAAAAGAACAGCTTTTGGATTTCCTAGGGGAAACAATGGTGGGACAACATTGAAGGCTTCTTTTACTCGCTAGATGAATAAACGTATGTGGATGTATCTGAGAAATGTTGGGGGCTACAGTTAGGGATTATTAGCATCCCCAGACATTCAGACTTAGAGAATGTAGGAGGTAAACAGGATGTAGAAGTCAATACTGGGGATCCTACCATTTCTGCATAGTCAAGATTTTAATGGTTAAGTCAGCAAGTTTCTAGCTCTTGTTTTCTCCTTTTGACTCAAAAAAAAAAAAAGAGAGAGAGAGAAGAAACAAAGAAATAAAAATCAGGGATCCTAAGACTTTTTTGAAGAGATATAGAGATTTGGATTTATGGATTTTTATACTACCAACTCTTTGAGAAATAGGATTATCTCTTTTCTATAATATTCACCACCCCTCTGCCTTCCAACACTGTCCTTTCTCAGAACTCATGAATGACTGACTCCCTGTGTGAAGGTGTTTTCAATTTTCTTTGTCTGGGCTGAGATGAAAGACTGCCTTGGAGATCAGAGAAAGGACTATGGGCCTGGTGTCACTTGGTGTGGCTGCAATAAAGAGACAAAATTAGCATCAGGCCACTCTTCCCTTGCTCTCTAGGTGACCTTCTTAGGCCTACCTGGGAGATCTTGTCTCAGTCGGTAAACTCTCTTCTAGCAGGTGGCCCAGAACAGCATCTGTAAATAGGTAATCACGTGCTTTTGATGATGGTGAAGATAGTATTAGGTACCTTGGGCATTTATAAAATATTCAAATGGGGAATTGTCCTTGAAGATCCTCCCCAGCTAGATGGCTTTTCAGCACTCTGGTTCCTTTAGCTGAGGGGAGAAGGTGTTCAAAGCCTGCCTTCAGGCTGAGTGCAGATGAAGCTGTTTGGTGAAAGGGAGTACAGTGCATTCCTGCCTGCTGTGTTCACGCTTGGGTTTCTCTGCCTCGCTCATGACCTGAATATTTTCTTAATCCCCAATGTGACAGTAATGATCTGTATATATTTTAAAATCATTCTTGTATTAATAAAATTATTACCGCGACTTTTTAATGCTCGTACAAACATATGTATAGAGTTTCTTGTTTTATTTGAAAAAGATTTCATTTGAACATGCTGTATTATGTGTTCTGCAACTTACCCTCTTAACAATGAATCGCCCATGTCTGTCTCTACCAAGATACCTAGCTCTCGGAATTGTCATTTAGCGGTTCTTTGTCCTAGTACTTGCGTGGTTCTTTGAACGTGAGCTTTCCGCCCGCCTTTCTTCCTCCCGGTGTTCTGAGATTGCCTGGCCTCTCGGGGTGCCCGGCCGAGGAAGGTCCCGGCCAGTGGGCGGGGTCCGGGGCCGCTGGGGACATGCAGATGAGGTGGGCGGGGCCCTGCCTAGACCCGCGGGTAGCGTTGGGTCGGCGCGCCCAGCCTGGACCGACTCAGGCAGAGGCAGCCAGCGGAACCTGCTTCCCAGAGCGCAGCGGAGCCTGGTCCCGGGCTGGCCCCTCTGCGGCCCCTGGAGCGGGCCATGCCGCCGCGGGAGCTGAGCGAGGCGGAGCCGCCCCCTCTCCGGGCCCCGACCCCTCCTCCGCGGCGGCGCAGCGCGCCCCCGGAGCTGGGCATCAAGTGCGTACTGGTGGGTGACGGCGCCGTGGGCAAGAGCAGCCTCATCGTCAGCTACACCTGCAATGGGTACCCCGCGCGCTACCGGCCCACCGCGCTGGACACCTTCTCCGGTACGTTCAACTGCCCTGGCGGCCTCGTGGCTGGCGAGGGCGGGGGTGGGGGTGGGGGTTGTGCATTGGAGCTGGGGCCGGCGTCGCGGCGGGAGGGCACGGAAGACCCCAGGGAGGAGGCGTGGGCAGGCCCCGAGGTGGCGCTGGTGAAGACTGGTGGGGCCCAGGACGCTCTTCCTAACTCGGATTTTCCCTGCCTCCCCCCTGCAGTGCAAGTCCTGGTGGATGGAGCGCCCGTGCGCATTGAGCTGTGGGACACAGCGGGACAGGTGAGAAGCTGGGAGCAGCCTCTACTGGTCTGGCGGGAGGTGGGTTGGAAGCTGGGAAGAACCCAGATCAAGCAGGAATAGAGAAGGCGTTGGGCTCTTGGAGTCTCTGGTCTCCAGTCGCAGGTGAGAAGCAGATTTCTGTTCCATGTGGCAGGGAATGACCCTACTAACGACCTGATCTTCCCATCGCAGGAGGACTTTGACCGACTTCGCTCCCTCTGCTACCCGGATACCGATGTCTTCCTGGCATGCTTCAGCGTGGTTCAGCCCAGCTCCTTCCAAAACATCACAGAGAAATGGCTGCCTGAGATCCGCACTCACAATCCCCAGGCGCCTGTGCTGCTGGTGGGCACCCAGGCCGACCTGAGGGATGATGTCAACGTACTGATTCAGCTGGACCAGGGGGGTCGCGAGGGCCCGGTGCCCCAACCCCAGGCTCAGGGTCTGGCTGAGAAGATCAGGGCCTGCTGCTACCTCGAGTGCTCAGCCTTGACGCAGAAGAACTTGAAAGAGGTGTTTGACTCGGCCATTCTCAGTGCCATCGAGCACAAGGCCCGGCTGGAGAAGAAACTGAATGCCAAGGGTGTGCGCACCCTCTCCCGCTGCCGCTGGAAGAAGTTCTTCTGCTTTGTTTGAGAAGCTGTGGCAGCATAGTGAGTGGTGGGCAGGAGGCCAGAGACTTCTGGAACCTGGGGCACAGGGTCTTTGAGGGGGCTATGGCAAGGCCCAGCCACCCCATGGGACTCGGGTCCCTTCTGAACACTCTGGGGCCATGGGCCTCTAACTGCCCACTCTGATATGCCTGGGTGAGCCTAGGGCCTGGAGGAGGGAAGAGGCTATGATTTGGATTTCTGAAGTCAAGGCTCACAGAGAAAACCCAGCACTTTGATTTGCATGGGGTGGTCCTAACAGTGTTTCTTATCATGGACCCTCAGGTCAGCCTGGCTGAATTAGGAGCCCTTGCGGTGGTCCCCACCCCCTCCTTTGCACAGGGGTGAGGAAGAACCTGGGTAACAACTGGGCATCTTGGAAGGCAAGAAGCTGTCCATCCCTGATTTGGAGGGAAGTCTGGGATGGAGTGGGTAGGACGGAGGCCAGCGAGAGATTGGAAGAGGGAGCAGAAATCAAGGCCTTGGATCCCTGGGACTGGAGGCAGATCAGAGGGCTGGGCCTGGAAGGAGGAAGATGAGGAGAAAGAGAGCAGGGAAGTGGGGCAGCTGAGGAGCAGGCTGACACCTGGGCTGCCCTCAAGCCCCGAGGCCAGGGAGGGCGGGGCTGGTCCCTGGGAAGAACTGGGTCTCAGGGCTCCCTAGGCACTGCCCAAACTGGCTGAGCCAGGAGTGGGGCAGGAAGTGAGAGTCAAGGCCCAGCAAAGGGAGGGGGACGGGCTGCAAATTAGAGCCTGAAGGAGGAAGGGGTTGGGGGTCATCCCTTTCTCCAAGGTCACAGCCTAGAAGGTAGAGCAGTGCAGAGTCTGCAAATAAAACCTTAAGTTTCTGAAGCTGCTGTCTCTGTCGTTTCCTGGAGTGGTCTCCCTGAGGCTCCCTCATAACCCTTCTCAAGGCCCAACAGTCTGGATGGAGACAGGTTGGGTACCAAAGCACTCAGGCTAGGTTGAAGGGTGGGGGGCTGGACCAGATGGGACAACGTGATGGGAACTGGACAGGGGGGCAGGTATGGGGCTCCCGCTTGGGGCTTAGCTGGTTCCCAGGACAGCTAGCGTGGGAAGCAGCCTGGAAACGGGTTTCCCCAGGTGTCAGCGCCAGAGCTGTTTTCCCATGACCTCACCAGGCGGGTGGGGCCCCTCCCCTCTCCTCCTCCTTTCTAGAGCACCCTGCTCAGCGCTGGGGCTCTGGGGCCATCCCCGCCCCTCTAACCTTTCTGCTCCAATCCTTCTGACAGTTCACAGAGCCTGGGGTCTCAGGTTGGGGGACCCTCCACCCATTCACAGCCTGAACACAAAAGGAACCCCATACAACCTAAACCTCAGCCAATGGCCAAAGTCCTTGGTCTTGAGTTGGTTGGACTCAGTCTTCACCCTTGGCACATAATGACCTAGTGAAGGTCAGGGTGCTGTTTGTGAACAATTTAATTAGAGATTTGGTCCCAGAGATCCTGTGCAAGTGAGGGTTCATTGTGAGAGGACTTGGAGAGGAGCAGGGATCCAATTCCATGGAATTGGAGCTCAAAAGAGCTTTATCTTTTTTTTTTTTTTTTTCCTAAAGATGACTGGTAAGGGGATCTTAACCCTTGGCTTGGTGTTGTCAGCACCACGCTCAGCCAGTGAGCGAACCGGCCATCCCTATATGGGATCCGAACCCGTGGCCTTGGTGTTATCAGCACCGCACTCTACCAAGTGAGCCACAGGCCGGCCCCAAAAGAGCTTTAAAGAGCATCTTGGGAGAAAACAAAACAAAAGAAAAACTTATTTTACCATAAGGAAACTGAAGTCCAGAGAAAAAAAGTAATATCTCAAATGAGATATTATTACCAAGTGGTTGTAAGAGCACTTTGCAACACTACAGTTGGGTACATGGGTCTGTGTTATTCCTGTAGAGAGGTATTTCTAAGGCACACCTGACACCTGCTAGGCAACTGCTGGCTGGGTGAGCAATCAGCCGGCCCAGCCCACCTCTGGACCCAGATCCCTCTGCAGGAAGCTATGGCTGTGTGTGTGTGAGAAAGAGCATGGCTGAGGGACAGAAATCCTAGCCAAGCGATACCTCAGATAATTCCCAAGTTTCATTTTAGCCAAGACTGTCCACCTCCAGCCCCACCAGGGCCTATTCCCTGTGCTCCATCCTCCTTGCCTCTCTTTGTCCTCTTGCCCCCTCAGGTGGTGGTGCTGAGGGTCTCCCACCCCAGAACCATAGCCTGCTGTTACCTCAGCCCAGCCTGACACACTGCCCTCTGGGGCAGAGACCCGGGTTCAAGTTCAGGCTCTGACACCAACCATGACCTTAAGCAAATCATTTCCCTTCTCCAATGCTTCATTTCTTCATTTGCAAAACGAAGGACTCAGGACTCTGACTGGGTTAGAGGTTTTCAAACTGTTCCTAGGGTCCTTAGAAGTGCCATGGGGTGGGGAAGGAAGCTTAATCGAGTGATCTCTCAGCCCCTCTACCTCCCTAATTCTTTCATGGTACCAGCACATCCATGTCACCCAAATTGAAAGCTTGGTCACCATGCCTCCTCTCCTGCTAGGTCACCAAGCCTGGACAAGACCTCCACTGGCCTCACCCCTACATCCCTGCTACTGTGACCTCCCTCTCCAATCCCTCCAGAGCTGCTGCCTTCCTTCTGGCATGCCCCCCGACCCCCCGCCAACTCAAGACTCTCACGGGTTACAATGAACTCCCAGCTCCTCATTCTGGCAGTCAAGGCCTTTTCAAATGTGACAGCAACCTGGACCAGGCCAGCTTGTCCCAGTGATCCCCATTTATCTCCTGACTTCCTGACTCCCAACTCTGCCAGATCCCCTAGTTTTGAAAATGCCCCCTGTCCCACCTCCCAGCTGCCCTGTTTCTCCTCTAGCCATTTTTCAATACCTCCTTCCTCCAGGAGGGACTCCTACCTGTAATAGTGTCCTCACTGCTCCCTTGGCGTACTGAGGACACTTCCTTCCAGTCTTCTAAGCATATTCCTTTAAATATTTTTTTGTGATTATGCTGTATATACAATTTTTTTTTTGAGACTGGCCAGTATGGGGCATATATACAATTTTATATTTTTATTTTTTTTCATTTACAAATGTAATAGTATTTTTTCATGATATTATAAACTCTGACCATGAGGCTATAACAATATGTGTATGTTTTGCTTACTGTTTCACCCCGACCTTAAAGTCTTTAACTACATCCCCATTTGGAGGCATTAGGTTGTGACTCAAGCTGCGTTTCTCCAGCTAAATGGGGAGACAGAAAGCCCCATTTACGCCCTTTGCACTCCCACAGCGTCTCAGGCTCAGGCAATATATGCTGCTGGCCCTTAAATGCTTAGGGATAAAAAGTCAGCCAGTGAGCCCTGGGGAGACTGTGAGGATCAAGTTTAGCTCCAGGCTTGTGTCACAGAGGCTGACGGCCCTGGAGGCTTGGGGTCCATGCCATCTATGCAGGACAAAAGGGATTTACCTCTGGTTCCAAACCCACTGGCTCTCTGGTTCTGTCTCTCTATAATACAGTATCTCTCTACTTTTCTGGAACAGTTTGTCTGTTTTTTCTCTCTCTGTCTCTTTCCCTTGCTCTTTTTCCCCTCTTTCTTTGCTCTCTTAAATCTATATTTAAAGGAATATTTATTACAATACTTGGATAAAATTATGTTTCTTACATATAATTCTTACATTTGTCCTTATCAATGTCAATTGTTTTTAATGTTTGTGTAACCCTTAGTTGATTTTTAAAATAATGTTTATTTTTTCCGTAATAAATACTCAGAAAAATAAGAAAATTCAAAGAATGAGAAGAGAAAAAAAATCACTAATAATTGTAACTCTCAAAGACAATCAGTGGGGCCGGCCCGTGGCTCACTCGGTAGAGTGCGGTGCTGATAACACCAAGGCCACGGGTTCGGATCCCATATAGGGATGGCCGGTTCGCTCACTGGCTGAGCGTGGTGCTGACAACACCAAGCCAAGGGTTAAGATCCCCTTACCGGTCATCTTTTTTAAAAGAAAAAAAAAAAGACAATCAGTGACCGGCTGGCTGGTTAGCTCAGTTTGTTAGAACACTGTGCTGTTAACATCAGGGTCCAGGGTTTGATTACTGTACAGGCTAGGCACCCAAAAAACCCAAAAAACAAAACATGAAAGACAATCAATAATAACATTTTGGTGTACTTCCCTCCAGTCTTTTCTTCTATGCATATTTCTTTAAACATTTTTTTGTGATAATGCTGTATATACATTTGTGTGTGTGTGACTGGCCGGTATGAGGCACATATACTTTATTTTATTTTATTTTTTAAAGATGACCGGTAAGGGGATCTTAACCCTTGACTTGGTGTTGTCAGCACCACGCTCAGCCAGCGAGCGAACCGGCCATCCCTATATGGGATCCGAACCCGGGGCCTTGGTTTTATCAGCACCACACTCTCCCGAGTGAGCCACGGGCCGGCCCGAGGCATATATACTTTATATTTTTACTTTTTTCATTTAAAAATGTAACAGTATTTTTTCATGATATTATAAACTCTGACCATGAGGCTGTGTATGTTTTGCCTTCTATTTCACCCTGACCTTGAAGTCTTTAACTAGGTCCCCATTTGGGTGCATTAGGTTGTTTTCCTTTAACTTTTTGTCTATTATAAATGACACTATGTCTACAATTGATTATTTTTTCCACTATGGGTCATTGACTATATACAGAAAAAAGTTCTCCCTCTTTGGCTTGGAGACTGGGCCCCAGTATCATCCTGAGTGGATCTTGCGAAGGAGCTTGGGTTTCTGTGTGTGACTGTGGGGGTGGGGAGCTTTATCTGTTGGACCATGACTAGCAGATTGTGGGTGTTCAATAAATACTAAATGATGGGGCCGGCCCGTGGCTCACTCGGGAGAGTGCGGTGCTGATAACACCAAGGCCACGGGTTCGGATCCTATAAAGGGATGGCCGGTTCGCTCACTGGCTGAGCGTGGTGCTGAC